TATTTATTATTATTTTTTTGGTTTATATATATATATATATATATATATATATATATCTTAATCAATTGAGTTTAATTTCGTTTTACTCATTGTTTACACACACAATCACTTGAGCTTATGTGTTTCACATTTAGTATATTCGGGTTGTAAGAGTGTTTTCATTGAGAGAGCTTTACATTTCGTTCTCATTCGTCTTGGAGAACAAATCCTTTGTTCGAACTTATTGTTAAACACGTTATAATACACAAGAACACTTAGAGGAGTGGTTAGGAGAGACTAGGGTTAATTCTAAAAGGAGTGTGTTAGTTGTAAAGCCTAGAGAGATGTTGTAAATCCAAACACTTGAGGAAGTTAACACGGGTAGTCCAACACTAAGTGTGGTTTATGTGATTGACACCATGTGCATTGTAAAAGTTATCGATGATATTTGAAAACCGTTATTGTGTAGTTTTTGAGATATAGTGAAGATCTACTCGAGATGAGGAGCGGATACGTAGATTGTGAGTTGACCGAACTCCGTGATCATATCTTGTGTTTGCCATTGTTTTTGGTGTATTATTATTCTTTACATTTTGTGCTTGTGTTTATATCACCTATTATATTATTGTTTATTCTTGTATAATCTTGCTAGGATATTATTTTATAAGTTTTAATTTGACATCAAAATCGGATTAGATTAACAATTACCATATGCACCCTCTCTCTAGGGTACTTTCATGAACCCCTTAACTTTTATGAGTTTATCTCTTGACAGCTCAGCTCATGCACATCCCTCTAATATAACCGACAAAGTTGAGCATTGGACGAAAACTAGAAAACTAAAAATAACCACTGAATGCTAAATTATAGTAGATCTCCTTTAGATTACACAACCCTAGTTGCACATTGGGGATTAAAAAAAAATCCAAAACATCTCTAGAACTAGGAAAAAAAATACCAAACTAATAAGAAAGATCTTAAAAAAAAGAAACTAATAAGAAAGATGTAAAACAAATACCAATCTCGTAATTTAAAGAACTCACATGTAACATCCCCTATATAATCACCAAAATCAATGCTGGAATTGATACTTGTCCGGATGGAATCATCCATTCCATCTCAGGACAGCAACAGGCAAGTTACAAACCTCTGAAACCGGACTCTCTGCGATTGGAAAGATGAAAAGAAACCCATGTATAACTCAGAGAAGCCAAAACACGAGAAAATACTTAAGACCAACTCGTATAAAATCAGGCATCTGCAAGTTTGAAAATAAAAGCATATTGCACCTCGTTTTCATAAACATAACTTAATACAAACTAGATTCACCTCCACCTAAGATCGATAAGCAAAACAAAGTAAACAGTAAACTAAAGACAAACTCATATGAAAATGGGTTGGAAAAAAGTACTCTAATGGAATAGATTGGGTTTAGGAAGTAATGAACTACAAAAAGCAGCGATGAGATCAACAAAAGTTACACTTCAACGCTTTCCACCACCTCCACCAAGTTTAGGGCCTTTGCCTCCCTTTGGTATATTACCCTTAGGCTGGGTCTTCTGGGTCTTTGCCATAAGCTCAGCCTTCTTGGCTTTCTTCTCATCCTTGGTCTTCTTTATACGCTCCTTGATTTCACTGTAGAGGCATGGACATCTACAAGTTATTATCTTTTGATATATACTCAAAATGTCCTATTAACAAGTAGACATAAAATATTTACAAATATTCTTTGTTTTATCATTTTCTCAAATAATCATCAAAAGTAAACCGATAGACAAGATATAGCAAGTCTATAATCTAAGTGAAATTCACACATAACTAAACAAGTACAGTAAACAGCACACAATAAAATTACCGTAAAGCTGCTTCTCGAGCAGCATCACGAACTTCAGCCTTCTCAGTTCTCCTCTTCTGGATAACTTCCAGAGTAGCACCAACGATTGACCTTGAGTATGGCTTCTTGGTTGTACGACGCCTCTTCTTGACAGCTTCAGCACTAATATCCTAAAATAATAATCGAAAACCCCATAAACATGAGAAAGCTGTATTTACATAAAGAAACATATGATATTATATATCTCGCAAACAAAACTTGTGCTGCAAGTCTGATGGAGGCAAATCTTATGAACTTATGAAACAGAACTGCTAGATATTGGAAGATCTCAATATCATCAGTTAAAACAAACAAACATATAAAAAGATAATTCTTAACACATCTAATATCTTGACAAAAAGCCATCCAAAAAGCCCAACTAAGTAACAAGTAAAAATAACATGTAGATTTGTAACCATAAGCCAATTTATCTAGTAATAAGTATGATAATAGTATTAACATATTGGCCATGGTGATTAAATTTTTCTTCTTTTAAACTTGGGTCTGTGGATGATATTGCAAGACCGGACTTCCAACTGAAGTAGCTTAACATATTTCAGGAGTTTATAACACAAACAGCAAACAAATTCAAAGTTATATGCAAGATGGACTTTGAATCAACACCTTAGAATGCACATGACAAGAACAGAAGTGTACCAATATAAACAAACATATGTGAGCATCAGTATTAAAAATACAATATACATTGAGATACCACAAACATAACAATAAACAAAATCTATCTTATGTAAACTACAAGTCTACAACTGACCATAAACCTTTAGTTATATTGTTTGAATTATACAGTTAACTAAGAAGTAAATAATATTTGGAAATTTCATGAAATGTAATATAACTTTCAGGTAGAAAGGCTTTATTTTGGTGAGGAGCTTTGGAATTATGGAAGTGAACTTCAACTAGTGTTTACAGACAAAGGGACAGCTACTAATCACCTGTATAAGTCCAGAATCATTAAATCACACCCATATAAAGAACAAGCATCATTCAGCTAAAAATTACCTTTTTGTGCTGCTTCCTATACATTGCTGTCCAGGTAAGCTTGGCAGGCTTCAGACGGTTGTGAAAGTAGCGCTTGCATTTTGAGTTCGAAAAAAGGAAGACCTGAGTGGAATAGATAGATCAGTATAAAAATTATACAAAATTAGTATTAAGCCGCATAGTCCTTAGCAAAACAAATATGCTTGCCTGGGAATCAGCACGAACAAATCTAATGCCCTTTCCTGGGTATATCTTAGCACCACTAAAACGGCACAGTTCAGTCCTGCAAGTTCAAGCAAACATGCAAACATTTATTTATAAGAAAAAATATCACTGAACTTAGGTTAAATTACTGCCTAACTTTTTTCAATACAGAAATCGAAAGAATTATGACAATCTGAATACGTTTTGGTAAACCAAGACAAATTTTATAGAAATACAAGGAAATGAAATTTTGAGCACTTTTCTTTTACTTTTTTTTATAGAAATTGAATCAAAAAGCCCCAAAACTTCTATTCAAAAACCTTGCAGCACCTAAAACAAGCATGGAATATAAAAGATCTTACCAAGAGAAACCAGAAAGAAAGAATTAGAAAATATTATACTGCGGTCAGCTAATAGTCCACAAAAGATAGAATTTTCACTCAAGATCTCATCAAGATAAATTGGGTTTCAACTTTCATGAGTAACAAGGACACAACTTTCAAGAGTAACAAGGACACAAGGAGTGATGGAAAACATACTTGAGAACCATTTTCCTGGTCTTTAGAAATTCTTACCTCCTTACCTAAAGAAAATAACATAAGTTAGCAACATAGAGAAAGCAAGCAATACGAAGAAAACTAAGCATTCAAACTGTCACGACCGAATGCTCTTTGTACACTAATATGCTCATTAGCTAAAACAATGAAGGCAAAATCAGAACCTTGCTAATCCTACTATCACAAAACACACTAATAAAAAGTCCTTAAGAAGTTAATAGGGAACAAGGAAGCACAAAAGGAATGCTCCTTACAGTATAATATCAACATGGTATGTTTGAACCACAAGAGGCGTCCCCAATTAACTCTTGTGCATCCAAAGATTGGGAAAACGAACAATCGGAAACTTGGGTCAAAACCTCATACTCACGCAAATTCTTTCCCAAAACCCAACTAATACCAACACTTTAAATTTGTGCCTATCACAAGAAACTCCAGTAAATGCACTAATCAGTTAAAACTAAAGATTAAGGAGACAACAAACGAATGATCATCGCCAATATTCTGAAAAATATCTCTCAAATGGGCCAAACCCATTAATCCTTAACACAAATATACACACGTTAAGCATAAACAACTTCTAGTAGAGGCAGAGAGAAATACACCTAAGGGCATGCAAATATGAACTAAAAAAATTAATGATTTAACAATAAAAAGAAATTTAATCCTAATACTAGTCAATGATATCAATAGGACTAAATATTCATCGATGTTATACTAGTAAAATTTAAGATTTCAATCCATTTGCTATTAATCATTCACAGAATTGAATAGCACAGAGCTGAATCTAACGTATACACAACATGAAAATTCAAATAAAAATATGTTCAATCGTCAAAAATTTACAGATAAATAAGATGCAAAAAGGGAAACGAGAAGGTTGAATCAAAGAGCTCGGAGTGGAAGAGAAATCTGACCAGTACCAGCTGAAACCCTAGAGGGAAGAGACGGCGGCAGGAATAAGCAGGAAAAAAATGGGGTTAGTATGGACGCGATCTTTTATATAGCGTTTTGGTGCTTTTGCATTATGATAATGGGCTTAGGGTTTCAAATGGGCCAGAACGGGCCATTAATGGTATACATCCTTCATATTGATTGTTTTTTATTCGCACATCCGTCATATTGATTTGACGATTTTTTTTAATTTTTTTTATTAATGGAGAAGCACTTCATTCGTTAACAATTAGCAGATAAATCTTGAAGTACAAATTTCTATGAGCTTAGAGGAATTGAGTCTCTCCATGCTTGAACTTGCCTTGATCAAGCTCCTATCTGAGCAAGAGAATGAACCACACAATTGGCTTCTCTCCTTGTATAAGCGAAGCTACAAAAGACAAATTCTCTAGTGAGTAACTTAATATCATCAACAATGGGCCCAAATGGCGTAAGAGAAAAGGAATTTGAATTGAGAACAACACTTGTCGTAGAACAATCTAACTCAACTTCAATGTGAGTAAATGTAAAACCCTAAAAATTTGAATATTTTACGATAAATAATAATAAATATATTATATATTTATAAATAACATACTATGATGTTTGAGTATGCTAGGAATTGATTTGAGATCAATTCAATATATATATGTATATATATAAGAGCAAATGCACAAATCATGCTCGATGTATAAATCTTGAAATTTATGACTAGTGGAGAGATTTTGTATTTTACACACTGATACATTATGAATATGGAAAAACTTAAAAGATCAAAGTTGTAGATATCTTCAGAAGCTTTCCAACAAATCTTTAATCACCTCATTTCGAGGTCAGATACGAAAGTTACAGCCAAAATACCGAAGAGTATGTTTCTAGTCAGACTTGGTTTTCCAGTTTCGGGTTTCGGGTTTTGGGCTGTAGTTTTTCAGGTTTGTTGTCATATATACACATGTTTAAATACAAAAATACCTCTTTTCTCCTGTGTTCCAAACCCTAGTGGCCCCTCTTCTCCTCTCTCAAACCCTAGCATTAAACTTGTGTTCTCGGGGAAGTTTCATGAGGCGAAAGCGACGAGAAGGCGAGATTTGCGGCGTTTGGCATTGAGGGATCATTCTCACATGTTTTTGGGAGTTCATCAACACCCATCGGGCGAGTAACATCTCACCCAGCCCTACCCTATGTTCTTAAAAGTTTTCTAATGATTTTAATGGGTTTTTGTTGAGCCTAAAACGTATATTTGAGTATAAAAAAGATATTCTTTATAGCATATGATGCGAAAAATCTTGTGTTTTAGTTTATCAAAAGTCCACCAATGTTTTGGGTAATAAAGATCTAGAGCTGAAACAATTTAATCATGAGTTAAATCACAACTTCTTGTTTTCGAAACGTTTTTAACATGTGTGTTTACGCTTAGGGTTTTTCGCAATGTATATTTGTGTTTAATTTTCGCTGCATATTATTATATGACTATTAGAAATGTTAGATTTTTGTTTAAGAAGAAATCATCAAGTTTTAGATCTGTTTCGAAGCAGATAGAAACCTGTAGAGGGCTTCTGTCTGTTTCGTGGTTGACCGCGGTTGACGCGGGAATCTGTCTGCCCTCTGCGCGGTCGATCGCGGTGGACGCGGCGGTCGACCGCCGGGCGTTTTTGTTGAGCATCTTGTTTCTGCTCTTTACGCGGTCGACAGGAGTGACCTCTGCGGTCGACCGCTGAACTGTTTGTGCACGTTTGTGTTTCGTTGTGTATTTTCACGTGTACGAGGAGTTGCCTCGATTATCTGGTACTAGAATTCAGTGATTAACTAATCATTTATGCATGTTAGATGAATTGAGAGCACTAGTTTAGATTCGCACACCAAGACACGTGTGAAATTAGTGTATATATATATATATATATATCTTTTCATATATCTCATCGACATTTACGCATTTTGTACAGTCCATGTGTTAGACATTCATTTCATTCAATCCGTGTGTTGGACATTTATCATATATAGTCCATGTGTTGGACACTCATTTTTATTAGTCCATGTGTTGGACACCTGTTAAACTTTGAGTATGACACTTAACCAAGTTAGGACATGACATTTTACATGAGGTGAAGACATGACAACTATGTATGCTGGGCACTACACTATTGTGGGTTTGACATACGTTTATGTGCAAGAGTTGAGATGGGTTGTTTTTCTTAAATTTATTATTCCATGTCTTAGATTTAGGGATTTGGTATTTAGGGGTTTATAATTTGAGATACAAGGTATATACATGAGAGTTTCCTTATTTGAATTATTTCGTTCGACGTACCTATACTCGTGTTGTAAATTTCTAAATACTAAAATCCTTAATTTTGTTAGAATCAATGAATTTTATATTATTATGTATTGACTGTATTTTCTTATATACAACGAGCCCTCTCCCTTGGGGTTGGTTGTGATGTTGCTCGCTAGCGCTTTAACGCTCGTTGTCCCTCCCATTTCAGGTAACGAGCCAGGTGTACGGAGAGTCGCAGGTTGATGGTGATACACATTAGTGTTCATCCTCTCCTTATAGTTTTGTTTTATTTTGGGAGCTCTATTGTAGACATTTTATTGAGTCATCGAGAGTTTTATTCTAGAAGTTGTAAAGGCTTTGCGCCTTATTTCTTTTTATCAGACATTCAGTATTTGAGACTTGTTGAGATCTCCATATTTTTCATTTCAAAGATTAACTTTGTATTTCTGTATGTTGGATGATGAAATATTAATTCTATCTCTATCATTTTATCAGTTATCTCTTGTATTATCTTTTACTTGCTTTTGTACCTACACATATTATTGACTCTACTAGAGAGATAGTAATTGTGATGGTGAAACATGTTATTGCACGGTGTGGTGCATGGAAGGTTTGACATTCTTGGTTTTACCTTGGACTGCAGCCTTGTGTGAACCCAGGGGTACCATAGTTGGTATCAGAGCTCTAGTTCCAGTATCCTTAGAATCATCCTGTGTCGATTTGTGGAGCTAAGTTAGAGTTTCCTAGGATTTATGTATTGAGTCCGATAAGAATTTTCTAGTATAAGTGAGGACGATATATGCATATATCTAAAATTTTGAGAATATTTTTTTAGGACAACTATTTTAAGTTGAATGCAGAGTATTGTGCGGTGGAATAGTGTCGTAGTGGATGAATATCGTGATTGGTGATCACGCTTATAGCTACATGTAGTTAGTAGTAGTAGCTATATATGATATACTATATATAGAAGTAGTATGTATATAGGTATAGAGTGATTCAACCGGTACTAGCTATATAAGATAGTATTAATATATATATATATAATATCTATTTAGATATATAGCTAGTAGTAGGACGTAGTAGGTAATATGGTACTAGTATGAGGTTTAGATTAAGTTATGATAGTATATACTAATAGTAATTAGTACATGTGCTGAGACTATACGTACTATTTATATAAATGTAATAGCGTTGATAAGTATAGTAACATAATATAGTACCGTAGTACTCAGGACTAGGGGGTAGTAGATATGATAGATATAGAGAGTTATATATAGTATAGGTGAGACAGTATATATGAAAGGTGAGTGCAGTATATAGGAAATTAGTGAGTATAAGGCAGTAGTATATATATATAGTATATAGTATAGTAGTAGTATATATATACGTAGTATATATTATAGTAGGAGAAGTGGTTATTAGGTAGATATACATATATATGAGTAAGCTATAGTATACTATAGGGTAATCAAGTGGGTTATATAACTGTAAGTAGTATAATGTAGTGTAAGGTCATGATATATATTATATATAGTAGGTATAGTATAGTATATATATATAAATATATATATAATATATAGAGATGTAGTAATATTAATATATATATATAGATATATATATAATATAAGTATCATATATATATAGTAGAGCCATATATATATACCGTGAGTGATGAACATATGATATGGAGGATATATATACATATGATAACGTATAATATAGTTATAGATATACTATACATATATGATGATACATATATAATATATATACGTGATATAGTGCGAGTAGTACTATATAGTAGGTAGTAGTAGTATAGGTATATAATCATACATATATATATATATATACATACATATAGTATAGTAGTAGGAGCAGTAGTAGGGTAAGTAGGTATAGTAACGTGATATTCAGTATATAGTATATATACATGACATATATATATATCCAGTATATATATATAGAGTCGCAGAGTATATAGTATATATAATATAGTATATATATATATATATATATAGTAGTATATTATATAGTATATAATGTAGTAGTATAGTATACGTACGTATTTGATCGACTTCATGGCACCATTAGCAGCAAGATCTTACAAAACGCGAGGAGCAAGAGGTGTATCCATTTCAGTCAGCAGTATCACTTTCAGGAGTTCTATCACCGGTTGTACCCGTCGTGAAAGTAAAGAGGTAATACCAATGAGGGCATCACCACCACCACAATCAGTTGTTTATAGAGCCGCAGAGCAGGAAGTAAAGAGGTAATTTTCTTATTTTGTTGTGTAACTCATTATAAGCGACTGAAGTTTTAATGGATTCCATTTCAAAATCAATTTTCGACGAAAACAAGCCGTAGAGCAGGAAGTTTAGCTCTGAAAGAATAAGAAATATATCAGATAATAAGAGCACCAGAGTTTCAAGGCACACCAATTTTAATTGCAACTTATAAGGGAAGGAGTATGTGAAAATTTCTTGAACGTCGACTTAATACCAAGCAGAAGTTAGATGTATTCAGCATTGAGGACATCACTGGAGGATAGTAACAACATCAAGATTTTTGATGGGGCAGCAATTATCACCTATTTTGGAGAATTTTAGTCACTACTTCAACAAGCAGTTAGAGCTAGTCTAAGTGAAGTAGGGAGATATACCCGTTGTGAAGGAAGAAATCAAAACCAAAATAGTGACAATAACAATGGCAAGAGAACTATTGCGAAATCTAGAGAATCCTAGCAGCGGGAGAATGATTTTAACCCAGCAACAAGGACAATATAAGAAAGGAGCAC